AAAAAAAAAAAAAAAAATTGGCAATAAAAACAACCTGTTGCTTCATGGAGGACAAACCTGCTTGCAAAGCTCACTCTGATATCATTTTTTAAGCAAAACTCTAAGAACAAGCCAGTCAGTTAAGTTAAAACCAAATATTAGATTACGAAAAGAGTTTTTGTCTATTTTTACAGGATAAGATACAAATAAATTTCACTCTTTCTTTTAATATGTACTCTGTTCCCAAACCAGAAACAAAGCAGTTTTTAAACTTGATTGTCAATAAATCTACTTTCTCCTACACAATCAATGAAAAGTAATCTAAACCGTGTATGTCAGGCCGTGTGCAGTGGCTCACATTTATAATCCTAGCTTTATGGGAGGCCTAGGCAGGTAGATTGCTTGAGCCCAGAATTTCAAGACCAGCCTGGCCAAGATGGTGAAATCCCGTTTCTACTAAAAATACAAAAATTAGCCAGGCATGGTGGCAGCTGCCTGTAATCCCAGCTACTTGGTAGGCTAAGGCAGGAGAATCGCTTGAACCTGGGAGGCGGAGGTTAAAATGAGCTGAGATTGCATCACTGCACTCCAGCTTGGGCGAGAGAGCAAGATGTCACCAAAAAAAAAAAAAAAAAATTGCAGAATCGGTGTCAGCAACTTGGAAGAAAACTCTGCAAACAAAAGTCCTCTTTTTTTTTTTTTTTTTTAACTCCTAGGAACCAAATTGTTGTGGAGAAGGAGCAAATCAGACATGTTTAGCAACATTCTTTAAGCAGGAGTCAGAAGTAAGCTAACACTACATAACTGCTAGGCCAGCTTAGGAGCCCAGGACCGATGACTCTCAGTTGTTTTATGGATTATTTTAAGAAATGCTGCATCATCAAATTCTTAATATAGAGGATGATACATAGATAAGTGTAGACATCAAAGAGTCTGAGTCAAATGCTGAATGTGGAAAAGTTTTAGGAATACCTAAACCAATTTATTTCGCTTAATGTCTCTCTTTTTCATGTACAAGTATGCAATATGAGAAAATAATCTACATTTAATTAAATTTATAACAGCCCTTTAATAAGTATAAAATGAACATTCCCATCACATCATAGTTTAACTTGCATTTTTTTTTTCTTAATGGCAAAAATCCAATGATGCTTCTTACAATGATAGCATCTTAGACTCAATGAAAAGTGGGGATGAAATGAAATTTGGGGGTGCAGTACCTTCCCCTCTTCTCCTAAAACAGATAATGAGCTTGAATGATCTATAATGTTTGCTAACTCTACTGCTTTCCTAACTGCTTCTCATGGTGTTCCATTTTAATAAAAAGCTGTGGGCTGTTCTTATTTTTGTTTGACATGGGGACTTTTTTTTGGCCCAAGACTTTTAATATCATGTGGTCCCCATTTAACTCTCCCTAAAATATTTCTCGGGAGGAGAAATTCTAGTAGTTCAGTTTCGCTTGTATGATTTCTTTCAAAGTGTCAATTTACTCTTGTTTCCTTTGCTAGGGGTGCAGGCTGCATCTTTATTGAAATGTTCCAGGGTCAACCTTTGTTTCCTGGGGTTTCCAACATCCTTGAACAGCTGGAGAAAATCTGGGAGGTAAGAGAAGAATTCTTGTAAAGAAAATGGAATATCTGCATTTTAAGTTTTGAACCAAATTTGCCTTACAGACAAATGAAGCAGTCCATCTGCTTTGAGATATTAAGCCATATATTAAGATTGTAGAAACTGTAGCATTTGCCACAGCTATAAGCACTCTGGGAATGTGTGGTCAGGAAACTCCCTGTTGCCCCATAGCAGCCCATGAATCCAGCTCACTGAATGACATTCAGGTCTCCTGCTACCCATCATTATTATTGTCTTAACCTCCCCAGGGCAATTTCTGCCATTACTACTCAGACACGCCCCTACTTTGCTACCTCCAGTTCTAATGCTACCATATATTTGGCCCTGGATCTTTGTCAACTGAAAATAAGACAGAGAATTTTCAACTGGGTACAGTGGCTCATGCCTGTAATCCCAGCACTTTGGGATTGCTTTGAGCCCAGGAGTTCGAGACCAGCCTGGGCAACATGGCAAAACCCCGTCTCTGCAAAAACATACAGAAATGAGTGGGCTGTGTGGCGCACACCTTAGTCCCAGCTACTCAGGAGGCTGAGATGGAAGGATTGCTTGAGCCCAGGGAGGTCGAGGCTGCTGTTAGCTATGACAATGCCACTACACTGCAGGCTGGGCAACCAAAAAAAAGACACAGAATTTTCATAGAACCCTGATAGAACAGAGGCTTTCCATCTTAGTGTGAGAGAAGTGTACCATTTATCATGCTTATCCACAACCAAGTTCCTAAAGTGTCAAGGTGCCTTTGTGTGTGTATGTGGCTCCATTTCTTCATTCATTATTTATCCCTACCTCATTTGCCTACGATATGCTTTGTTTTTATGGCCCTTATATAATACTACAGTCATACGATAGTCATCTGTATATTTCCTTTTTTGGTCATATTTTTATTGTGGTAAAATATATAAAACATGAAATTTACCATCTTGACCCTCCTTAAGTGTACAGCTTATCGGCATTAAGTACATTCGTATAGTTGCGCCACCATCACCACCATCCATTTCCAGAACTTCTCTATCATCCCTAACGGAAGCTCTGGACCCACTGAACAATAACTGCCCATCTTCCATCCCCTAGCCCCTAGTAACCTTTAATCTACTTTCTGTCTCCCTGAATTTGCCTCTTCTAGGTACCTCATATAAGTGGAATCATACAAATTTGTCTTTTTGTATCTGACTTATGTCACTTAGCATATTTTTAAGGTTCATCCATGTTGTAGAAAGTGTCAAGGTGCTTTAAATCGGCAGGGTGCAGGGGGATACTTTATTACTTGCTATCCTGGATCCCGCTCTTTGTCTTCTGGCTAAAATAAAATGTACTTTGTGAAATTAAGACATTTTATAGAGATTAATTACTGACATTAAATTTTCTTCTAGAAACATGGGGGCTATTATGAAGGAACATGGGAAAAACTGGGAAGCATTCACAACTGAAAAAAAAAAAAAAAAAAAATCCAAGCCAAAAGACTTTTTCTAAAAACGTCCTTGCAAGGCAGAGAAATCCTTTCTTCACATTGTGAAGAAAGGTGCTATAACATCATCTAAGCTGGAGACAGCCTGCTGTAATAGCTCTGAAGTCAGAAGACCTGGGTTTGAATTCTAGCCATTTTCTAGCTAAATGAACAAAAGCAAGTTATGTAGTCCCTCTGAACTTTCATTTCCTTGTCTGTAAAATGGGAACAGTGATAAGGACTTTCTAATTCTTGCTTTGAGAATTCCATGAGAACAAATGCATAACAAGCTCCATGCACCATAAATGCTCAATAGATGTTTGCTTTCTTCCTGTCTCATACAAATTGTTGTACGATGTTTCAGTAACCTAACTGCTAGCAAATATTACCTGAAATTTAACCTGATTGTTCTCTTCTTTCACTTAGCAGTATTACTTCTTGTCCACAATAGAGGAAGCACAATTGCAGTTCTGATACTGCAATGACCTTTTATACATTTGCAGAGTTTTTCCTGGTCATTTAATCAGGAAACAACACTTAGTGGTTATTCACCATATATAAGGTAACTCTATAAGACTCTACAAGGTCTTATAAGAAGCTGTAAGCCAAGAGGGGAAAAAAACAGAATAAGAAAAACACATGATCTGTATTTTCAAGTGTTGTTCAGTCTAGGTAGAGCAATGGTGAAGTATAAGTAAATATGTGTGAAACAAACATAAGCTATGTATATATGTAAAAGGATGTATCTAAAGATAGTTAATATAAATTGTAATAGTGAAATAAGATGTGCTATTAGGATATTTGAAGAGTAGTTTATTTGAAAAAAATGTAAGTATATCCTTATGTGCTATTAGTATTTGAAGAGTTGTATATAAACTGATTTTTTTTTTCTTTTTTCTTTTTGTTTTTTTGAGACAGAGTCTCACTCTGTCACCCAGGCTGGAATGCAGTGGTGTGATCTCGGCTCACTGCAAGCTCCACTTCCTAGGTTCAAGTGATTCTCCTGCCTCAGCCTCCTGAGTAGCTGGGATTACAGGCACATGCCACCACGCCAGGCTAATTTTTGTATTTTTAGTAGAGACAGGATTTCACCATGTTGGTCAGGCTGGTCTCAAACTCCTGACCTCATGATCTGCCTGCCTTGGCCTCCCAAAGTGCTGGGATTATAGGCGTGAGCCACCGTGCCTGGTCTTGTAAACTGATTTTTAAAATACAATATACAGTTAGGCACAGTCATGTGTGCCTGTAGTCCCTACTGCTTGGGAGGCTGGCAGGAGGATCGTTTGATCCCAGGAGTGTGGGCAACGTAGTGAGACCCCCATCTCTAATAATAATAAATATAAATTTAAAATAACCCTTTAAAATATGACATACTATCTTTGAATGACGATACAATTTAAAAAGCAATCATTTTATGATTCCTTAGTGTATAGTTAGCACAGCACTTAGAAAAATCATAGAATAAAGTGAGCAAGATGCTTCTCAAGGCCTGATCACTCTTTAGGACTCACAATGGGCTAGGTACTATGCTGGAAAGAGAAAAAATAATAATTTTCTAACCTGCTTGAGACATAGTGGTATAAATGATAACGCAACTGCTAAATATGATGACTTTCTCACTTTGTCCGCAGAGCAAGAAACTACAGATGCAATAACAAAATTGCATTCAATGAACATGGGACTGTAGATAAACTAACTTCATTTCTTTGTATATATGCCCTGTATTGGGATTGCTGGATCATATGGTAGTTCCATTTTTAATATTTTGAGGAACCTCCATACCATCTAACATAATGGCTATGCTATTTACATGCCCACCATGAGTGTGCAAATGTTCCCTTTCCTCCGCATTCTTGCCAACACCTCTTTCATCTTTTTGATAATAGTTGTGAGGCGATATCTCACCATGGTCCTAGTCTTCATTTGTCTAATGGCTAATGATATTGAGCATTTTTTCATATACCTCTTGCCCATTTGTAGGTCTTCTTTTGAGAAATGTGTATTGAGGCTTTTAGTCCATTCCTGCTACCATAACAAAATCCCTTAGACCGGCCATTTTACAAAGAACAGAAATTGACCGGGTGTGGTGGCTCATGCCTGTAATCCCAGCACTTTGGGAGGCCGAGGCGGGTGGATCACCTGAGGTCAGGAGTTCAAAACCAGCCTGGCCAATGTGGTGAAACCCCATCTCTACTAAAAATACAAAAACTAGCCGAGTGTGGTGGTGGACGCCTGTAGTCCCAGCTACTTGGGAGGCTGAGACAGGAGAATTGCTTGAACCCAGGAGGTGGAGGTTGCAGTGAGCCAAAATCATGCCACTGCACTCCAGCCTGGGCAACAGAGTGAGACTTCATCTCAAAAAAAAAAAAGGAACAGAAATTTATTTCTCACTGTTCTAGAGGTTGGAAAGTCCAAGATCAAGGCACTCACTGTATGCTCTTGTCCAGTGAGAGATTTGGCTTCCAAGTTAGTGCCTTGTGGCTGCATCCTCCAGAGAGGACAAATGCTGTGTCCTTACGTGGTGGAAAGGCAGAAGAGCAAACGGGCCTGGCTAATTCTCTCTAGCTCTTTTATAAGGGCATTCATCTCCGTCCTTGTGTCCTAATCACCCGCTGAAGGCCCCACCTCTTAATACTGTTGCATTGAGGATAAAGTTTCAACATGAATTATGAAGAGAACACAAACATTTAAACCATAACAAGTGCTTTGCCCACTTTTTTTTTTTTTTTTTTTTTGGAGATCAAGTCTCACTCTGTTGCCCAGGCTAGAATGCAGTGGCTTGCTCCCAGCTCACTGCAACCTCCGCCTCCCAGGTTCAAGCAATTCTCCTGCCTCAGCTTCCCGAGTAGCTGGGATTACAGGTGTGCACCACCACACCTGGCTAATTTTGTATATTTAGTAGAGACGGGGTTTCACTATGTTAGCCAGGCTGATCTCGAACCCTCAACTTCTGGTGATCCGCCTGCCTCAGCCTCCCAAAGTGCTGGGATTGCAGGCGTGAACCACTGCGCCCAGCCCTTTGCCCACTTTTTAATGGGGTTGTCTTCTTGCCACTAAGTTCCTTGTATTTTTTTGATATTAACCCCTTATCAAATGTATGGCTTGCAAATATTTTCTCCCATCGTAGGTTATCTCTTCACTCTATTGATTGTTTCCTTTGCTGTGAAGACACTTTTTAGTTTTATTTATTCGCATTTGTCTATTTTCACATTTGTTGCCTATAAGCAGGTTAGAAAATTATACAGATTATAAATAGTTCCTGAATTTGTGTTTTACTAAACAGCCTACACAGATGAAAATAGGAAAGCTACTTCAGAATCTGTGATATTTGATGTCAGAAGTGCATGTCTGAAAGCAATGGGGCCATTCTAAATCTCTTAACCTCTAGCCAAAATTTGTTCTCCATTTATCCTGAGATCTCATTCTTAGGAATAAAAACACATTGAGAAGTCCTGAATCTTTGTTTTACTATTTTTCTGAAATGCCTGTAGTGTATGTGTTTACATCTAAATAATAGCTGTCACCACTTTCTGATCAATTTTAAAAACTGATTTTAAATAAGTGTTTTTCATAAATAATCGTGGATTTAGTTCTAAAATCAGAAAAAACTGTGCAAACTTTAAATCCATTAATCAAAATGCTTTTAGTTTCCTTTCCAACAAAGGCAGATAAACAGCCCCTTCAGACCACTGTGGTTTGAAACATAGCACTCACTGGCTGCCTTTTAAGGGCCTTCAGGGAGGGAGTAAAACAACAATTTTTGGTTTTCAGTTTCCCAGACAGTGAAGGAGAGATTTAGTAATTTTCTCAAGTGAAAAAGAATTCAATAACTTTCAAATAGAAACTGAGGTCAAATTTCCAAATAAAGTATATTGAATTTTTGTTTAAACTTTTAAAATCTCAAGCTTAAAGCTTTGAACTTAAGATTAAAAAAAAAATTTTTGGTATCCATTTTGTTGGCTTTAGTTAAATATCATACAAAGTAACGAACCATCTGGTAACTGTCACCTTAGAGAAAACATGATAGTGGTTGTTATGTATTTCTTCTATTGTTTTCTCTTCATTATATTTGCTTTCTTTTCATTGCACTTTGCCAGCCAACAGAGGATGTATGGGTACATGTGATTCACACCCCCTTGTTTACACATGCATCTGTGCAAATACATAAGGTGGTAGGTTCAAAAAGAAGAATTAGCTTCCTGTCCCCTGGCCCTCTCCCACAAAAGAAGAATTAGTCCAGTTGGTTTTTCAAAATGGATTCCAGGATTCTTAGTGTTCCCTCGGGCTCAGGGTGGTTGATAGGAAAAGCCTGTAATCTTCTCAGTTGCTTTTTAGTTTGTTTAGGGAATGGATCAAAGAAGGAAGATTTTACTGGGTGGCATGATTTTTTTATTATATGAGGGAAAATAGCACTTCAGTGTCTTTTGTTTAAAGACAAGCTTAACAGATGCCAAAAAGTACACCTCTCAGCCAGAGTCCTAGTCAACAAGCTGATAGATATTAAGATTCTGGATTCTTCATTGATTATATTCAGTCATTGTTGGGCAATTGACTCCCTGCCGTAATAATTGGGCCAGTATCTATAACCAGCATTTTACGGATGGATTCGCTAGATTCTTTCTGTAAGAGATGTTTCTAAAAAGAGTTACAGTGAGATATGCTTCTAAGAAAAGTTATACTATAGTAGTGTAATGAAAGCTACTAGTGTTTTATTAGTATTTCACAAAAACAATGTTACTCTAGCTACCATATATGACTGCCTATGGGCTTTTATGATTATTCTAAAAAAATACTAAGGTATTGCCTACTGGGGAACTCATGGTGATAGCTCCATCCAAAGTCTGAGCTGTTTGGGCTTTGTACTCCAAAAGACTTTATTTTCATACATCTTAACTAAAAACTAAGGCTTTAAATTGGTAATTCAAGGCTGGGCACGGTGGCTCACACCTGAAATCCCAACACTTCGGGAGGCCGAGGCGGGCGGATCACAAGGTCAAGAGATCGAGACCATCCTGGCTAACACAGTGAAATTCCGTCTCTACTAAAAATACAAAAAAAAAAAAAAAAAAAAAAAAAAAAAAAAAAGGCCGGGCACAGTGGCTGAAGCCTGTAATCCCAGCACTTTGGGAGGCCGAGGCGGGCAGATCACGAGGTCAGGAGATCAAGACCATCCTGGCTAACATAGTGAAACCCCATCTCTACTAAAACTACAAAAAAATTAGCCGGGTGTGGTGGCGGGCACCTGTAGTCCCAGCTGCTCCAGAGGCTGAGGCAGGAGAATGGTGTGAACTTGGGAGGCGGAGCTTGCAGTGAACTGAGATCGCTCCACTGCACTCCAGCCTGGGTGACAGAGCAAGACTCCATCTCAAAACAAAAACAAAATCAGTAATTCAAAGCATAGGCCAGCTCTTTTTCAAGTGATGTTGTTCCCATGACAATCCATTAGTGAAAAACCAAATACCATATTCCAAGCTGCTAGTCACAGAGAAAACAAGCAGATGAGATGAATGTGATAGAAAGGACTAGAGTTAGTTTTGGGGTCATCTGTAGCCAACATTCCATTGTGTGAAGGTCAGTAATCTGAATCCTTTTTAATTTGAGCACATTGGGGAACAGCTGAATACCCATACTGAGGCATAATTTAGGCTGTCAAGTGTCTCCTGTCAATATACATATTGTCATCTGATGTAAGGCAAAGAGACAGTCACTCCTGCTTCTTTATATCCCTAGCTCCCAACATGGTGTCTTGATGCATGACGATCATGCAGTAAATCTTTAGTGATGAGAACATGACTTTAAGCAAGGCTGTATGATCTGCCTCAGAACAAGTGAGTCAGTAAGAATGCAGGCCCAGGACCATAGGAATGTATTACAGTTTTGCCCAAGAAACCACAAACGTTGGAAACACTCAGAGTTCTTTCTTGTATACATCAGCTAGTGTCATGCAATGGGACATATATCTGACTCTTCCCTGTTCTTCCCTTATCTGTTCTGCATGTCTCCATACCTCTTCCATCCACCTCTTCTCCCCACCTCACCTGTCTTTTTCTTTGTTTGGCTTTATATAGGTGCTGGGAGTTCCTACAGAGGATACTTGGCCGGGAGTCTCCAAGCTACCTAACTACAATCCAGGTAACATTGATCTGAGCTTCCGAATACTCTGAGAATTAGTAATGTAAGGAGAGCACTGGCCACACTAACAGGGCGTTCTTCTTGTATTGTGAACTCAGCAGCAAAGATGGGTGTAGAGGAATTTCTACATTCATATATTCCCTGACTAATCTTTGTATGAGGAAGACACTGAAATAGTAATTGAGGTTAGACCAGTTCCCCAGCTCTGTAAAACAAGTAGCAAGCTGAATATAATTTGAAGTGACTATTACTGTGGATTCCACATCCATTGTCAAATACCCAATGGCTCAAAAGAACAACTCAAAAGATGGGCTCACTTTTGGGCCCCCTGATTGTCATAAGTTTATGGATTAAATTGTTAAATTTCATAAGTACAAAAAGAAAGCTAATGCAACAGAACAGAGGTAGAGGCTCGCTAGGCCTAGGACATGCCAAGTAAGCTGTCTCTAGGTTATACTTACTAAGAGTTCATTCATTGCCTGTAAACCTGACACTTGGTCATTTTCTCTCACATTTGGTCTTTCAAGACTGGCTTCTGGGATGGATTTAGAAGTGCTAGAAATTCTAAATTTCTGGGGAAATTCTTTGAGAAGTTGTTGCAAGGCCACATCGGAGGGATCAGATTAAGCAGTAGTCACTTCAAGGATGTTGAGACAGAAGGGAGGAGACAGGCACTGAACTACAGGATGAAGGATCATATTAGAAGCTGAAGAAGCAAATAAAGACCATGCCAAAGCTGAGCTCTCACTGGCAGGGTTAAAGGGGAGGTAGAAAGGTACAGATAAGGACAAGGTTAGGGTGGATGTGCTCCAAGCCAGATTTTCTAGTCTATAATTGTTCCAATACTAAAAACGAAATCTTCCCAAATTGTTGTCCTCACTAACTTTTTTTTTTTTTTTTTTTTTTTTTTGAGATGGAGTTTTGCTCTTATCGCTCAGGCTGGAGTGCAGTGGCATGATCTCAGCTCACTGCAACCTCCGCCTCCTGGGTTCAAGCAATTCTCCTGCCTCAGCCTCCCCGAGTAGCTGGGACTACAGGCACCCGCCACCATGCCCAGCTAATTTTTTGTATTTTTAGTAGAGATGAGGTTTCACCATGTTGGCCATGCTGGTCTCGAACTCCTGACCTCAGGTGATCCACTTGCTTCAGCCTCCCAAAGTGCTGGGATTACAGGCATGAGCCACTGCACCTGGCCTGCTGTCCTTACTAACTTTGGTATGAGATTATCCTGGAAGGGTTTCATAAGAGCAAGAAATTTTAGATAGAGTTAAAATGTGATTAAAGAGGAAAATAAAAGACATAGGGAGCCGGGGACTTTTTTCTTCTTCTTTTCTTCAGCATCCAATACTTTTGCTTACGGCTATCCATAGGGATCAGGCATCTTGAACCACCAGGATTATGGAAGCTCTACAGCAAGCTAAAGACTAACTGTAAAGTCCTTTCTGCGGCTGTGTGAATGGTTATATCCATTACTAAAGGCCTTAAAATCATTTGCAAATGGTTTATGATTTCTAACTATTTTTCTAGAGTTTAACACCTGAGAAAAATGCCATTCTCTGGTCACAGGGCTTGGAATAGTGCCTATTTCCATTGATCTGAGATAGAGAAAAAAGAACAAGTTTCTTGTGGAGCCATGGTCCAGTCTGCAAATTGCTCCTATCTCCAGTTGCCATGGTTTCCAGGAGAACTTGGCTCTCATCTTTTCCTGCCCTGCCTGTACTTCTCCCTGTCCACTCTGTTCTCTATTTTCCCTCAGCTTCCTAACTGAGGATGCCAGCAGAAGTTCAGAGTCACAGATGGATTGTAGGAAACAATTTGGATGATGCCAACACAAAGCTACTGTGGTGGGCATATGCTGCTCCCCCAAACTTCAGACATTTGGGTTTCAGGTTGGTTCAGGCAATCAACAGTGATCCTTAATACAAAATGTCTTGGTGAGAGCAATAATCATAGAAACTTGGCCAAAGTGCTTCCCTGCCAGATTGTGTGCTTAATAAGATAACTGGGTTCCAATAAAACAGAGAAAATATGTTGTATTTTTAAAAATTTCCTGTTGTTTGAAAACAATGTGCAGGTTTTCTATATAAGAAGAAAAGTCTCCAGGCCCAACATCCATAGGGCGCATCATCCATTGTTTTTCTTTTAAGTTTTCAATTTAATTCGAATAGGTCAAACATTTTCAGGCACCTACTATCTGTCAGTTGCTGTGCCATGTGCTGGGGCTACATAGATGGAGAGGGTCCATTCTTGAATCTCTAGTGTTTGAGTTTGGATTCATTCATCCACACTCTTTCACCAGTTCTCCTTGTTACTGGGGTGCTCATTTGTGAGCCCTGCTTCCATAGCTTGAGGAGTTTGTGGCTGTGGGCCAGGCTGAGCTTATGGAGCAAAGGGAATTGGAACCTTAGCCATAGCCAAGATGTCTAAACCTGGATTTGGAAATCTTAGAAGTCCAGCCTATCTTGAGCCATGGGGTCAGTACTATCGATAACTCAATCCCAAGGACTGTGTTTTAAAAGGGTCTTCAACATCTGCATTTCAGGAACATCCCCTTACATGAGTCAATAAGTTCCTTTTGAGCCACCCCCTACCCATCCCCATCCCTGAGCTGCTGTGGCTTCTACACACTTGAATGTCAATGATTAAGGGCAACAGAAGACAAGCTGGGAGCCAGGAAAGTGTCACAGATGAGCACTGTGTCAGCAGCATTCTGGATGAGCTTCCCATTCCTCTCCTTTTCATTCTAAGTAGTCCTAGGAGCCCCCAAACTTTGAATCAGCCAGTACAATTTTGAGGGAGTCCAATTGTCCGAAACTTGGGAGAACCATCCAGTGTCCATCTACACCCATGCCACCATTTCTAGGCCTTATCTGGACACCTCTAGGAGGACAGCAAAGTTTCCATCTGTACAGCTTTTAAAAAGTCACCTGATGCTGACCCAGCCGGACAGATTTCTCTGACAGTTAACTGTTTTCTTGGAGCTTTGATGAGCGGGGTTGTAAGTTTTCTAGCCATCAATTCAGATTCTAGAGCCTGATTAAACCTGGGCAAGGTAAGAGGGTTGTGTGATTTTGGAAACTTACTTTTCCTTTCCTTCCCTCCTTCCCTC